AAAAAAAAAAAAAAAAAAAGGGCAAGAGCCAAAATGTCCAAGACATTCTTGATGATGAAGGCCTTCCTCTATGACATACCAAGAACAGCCTGCAGTGGCTACTGATAATTGACCCATACAAGCAAGCACACAGCTGGATCTGTCAGATGGAAGGATTGAGGCTGCAGGAGCTCTCCACCAAGGATAGCAATTACATCAAAAAAATAGAAAATTCTGTGATAACAGGAGGGTGTGTGCTCTTACAGGTATTGGACAGAGGCCTAATTCCCAAATTCAGTGCAGCTGACACATGTGTGCACTGAGCATAACATTCATGAGCTTTAAATGGCAGGTAACCATCAGGGTAAATAAATAAATATATATATAAATAAGCAGGCATATCAATAAATAAATACAGTGAGTTTTCAGTGTTCAGTGCTCTCAGATCTTTCACTGGTATCCAGATATTAACAAGACTTACATTTTTTAAATGCTTCATCTTTTCAACTAATTTTTTTTGTTTTAAAATGAATTTATATTTTATGTCTATTGGGTTTTCCAGAATCTCCCTGAAACATTAGCTCCAATTTTAAAGGCAGCTTTGAAGAAGGATATCTATCAGAGAAGAGGACAGTATTTCCTAAGGGCTGGTGATTCTGAGATTGAATACAATCCCAAATTTAGGTAATGTTATATTGAGTCAAATACTTATTTTTTCAAGACAATATCGAAGGCCCTGGATTTCAGTCCTTCTGGCTTCTCCTGGAGGAAAAAACGAGACTGCATTTTGAATGTTCCTTTGTTTCCGCACTTCCAGTTCCACTCATCACTAATGCAAAATAAAGAACAGATTTTTATTTATCAAGTCTTCCGAACGGCAATGTTCAGGCTATGCCTGATAACCCTGCGGATCCAGGAGGAGCCTTACGAAGCTGTGTAGGGGAAGGTAACAGCAGGACCTCGACTTCACCTATGTGCCTCACATTTTATTTGGACAAGAAAAGCTGCTCCTTCATTTTAAAAAATCGACATTTGATATTTAGAGCAAAAAGAGAGCAATTCTGCCTGGCAGGTGTCCATGTTTCAGACAGTAGACTTCCAGGAATCCAGCCCCTGACAGCCAGCTGCACAGAGTGCCTGCATGTAGTCAGGTCTGATTACCACAGAACTGTGACTCCCATGGGAATAAGACATCTGTGTCGTTGGTCATGTGCATTCTCTCCAGTGATTCCTAATCAGGAGATTGCTGAGTACACAGGTCATCAGCAAGAGGAATTAGACAATTTTAAGGGTCTTGAGCCTGTGCACTGACCATCCTCGCAGGGACTGACTGCACTCCCCACAAGAGGTGATGATAGAAGTGCCATCAGTGGACCCCCAGCCCCAGCCCTGCCAGGCCAGGGCGGCCAAGTTCTTACTCCCCAGAATTCTCCTTCCAGCCCCTTCCTTATGGTAATAAAACGTTTTTCAAAGTCACATGTGTAGGGATTTAATAGGTGCCTCTCAAAAGAGGGATCTTGTCCTTTATAAAATCACTGAGTTAAACAAAGTTCAATAGGATTCTGTCATCCAAGGACTTAAAACCCCTTTATTTAACAAATCCTCTCCAGAAAATACACAGACAAAAAGAACACCCAGGTGTGGGGATCTGTGGTCAACTTGTCAATTCAGGAAAATGTTACTTCATTAGCGTTTCTGAGAGCTGTTGCTTGATCAATCATTCTGTACTGAGAAAGAAAGGATGCGTTAGCATGGTGTTTTCCAAGTGTATTCTGTAGACAACCTAGGGCAGCTTCACACGCTGCTAGTACGAGGAGGATGATGGGCAGTATGTTAGCTAGCATAAAGTGGTTACTTAGGATTGTGATAGTAATTATTACGAATAGAGATAGTTTTGAATGGTGTGTGTGAGGGGCTGGTGGAGGGCATGGTTTTGGAGGACAGACTGTCTCCCCTGCCCCACCCTGCCACCTTCTGGCCATGGGAGAAGACAACTTATTTTACCTTTAATCCTCAATTTCACCCTTTATAATATGGAAGGAGGGGCAGCGTCCCTGCCTTATTAGGTTGCCGTGAGTACTGGAAGGAGGCACAGAATCTGACCACCCTGAAACCCCCCAGCACCACCCCTCCAAGCTACCCTCTCCATTCAGTTCCAACCAGTCTCCTTGCAACTCTCCTCTCCCTTCTTCCTCTGCTCACTATTCTCAAGCAGCAGCTGAGCGGTCCTGTGAAAAAGGTCAGGCCTCTCGCCTATTGAGTCCCTCCATTAGCTTCTTACTCACTCAGGGGCGAACCATAGTCTTTCCAATGACCCGATGACTGGTCAAAGCTCCTACTATTTAAGCATTTTTCTTTACTCTGTCCCTATGCTTAGACCAAATATAGCAGATTATGTATTTATGGCTGTATTTTTAATCGAAATAGCCAAATATGTTCACATAGTAAAAACTGAAAGCCTACTTTGTGCACAAGGCTGAATAACACTAAAAATTAACCTTATTTACTCCCAGGAGAAACATTTTTTCCATTATTAAAAAAATTGGTTTCATTTTTTCTCCTCGGCCATCCTTTGAGTAACTGGTGCATTTCTCCTGTTTTAGGCTATACATATCTACAGAAATTCACAATCCCAATTTTCCTCCATCCATTTATAACTTTGTTACTATGATCAACTTCTTGGTAACAGTCCAAGGTCTGCAGGATCAACTCTTATCTACTGTATTAGCTCATGAAGTTCCTTATTTAGAAAATCAACGTTTCCAATTATTAGAGAGGATTTCCCTTGAAGAGGACTCTTGAAGAACTGGGGGAAGAAACATTAAATGTACTGCAGAACTCACAAGGTAAGTTAAGATATTTAGTGGTATTGGGAGGTCTTTGCTTACCTTTGTAAAGGATACAATAAAAGTTGTAAGGACCATATTCTGAATTGGTACCAAAATATCATATCTTCATTTCCACCAGTTAACTGATTAATGTAGGTGAGTCACCCCATTTATGAAATTAAAATATTGTGAATTTTGGTGTTCTCAGTTCCTGCTTCTGTTTTAGTTCATCATGCCATAGGACGTTTGCCACCACATAACCAGTAGAGTTGTAAGAAAAATCTTACAGAGACTGGTTAGTTCCCTCCTCACTCTACATCAATACTTCAGGTATCTGACATCTGTTATATGTCTCACGTTAGATTATAGAGACCCTAAAGATCAGGTTTTCCCAAAGTATTAATAGCTAAAATGTAAAAGGACATAATCCAGCAACTTATACATATCCAATTAAAATATGGGGCTTATTAAAATAGCAGTAGAAATCATTTTCATCTCCAATGCAAGAAATATCTAAGAAACCACAGTCTTTAAATTTAAACAATATAGTTTCTAAACAACTAAACATAAAACATTGTAACTTCCTTGGGCACACAGACATATCTGCTCCTAAAAGGGGTTCTGACTACCCAATTTCAACATATGGGGAGGGAGTCCTCCATACCCATGCAATACCAGCTGGGTGTCCTGTAATTCAGCCCAGTTCTGAAACTTTCTCTCAGGAGATGCAGAAGACCCCACAGTTAAGGGGAGGGCATTCCTCAAGACCATCCGGAGCCAGAACTGTGCTGGTGGTGCTGCCTTGGACCTGGAAACGAGGCTGGCACTGGAGCTCTTAAAGGACAGTGGTGAATCAAAGCCTTTCCCGGGTTCCCGTATATGGTTACAAACCCATCCTGCCAAAAGAGTGTCGCTCCCCACTGTTTGACATTCATCTCAAACTGATGTCCCTCCCCTCACAAAGTGCTGCAGCCAACACGCTTTGCTATGGGACCCAAGGCCAGAGCAGAAACAGCTATGTTAACGATCATGGCCTGTCTCAGCTCTGCTGAGATGTACAAAAACACCAAGACTAGCTCAGCAGGTTCATGACCCGTGACAAAGAACCGTTTTTACAGCACAAAGCTGCCTTCGTTTTATGAAATTATTATTTGAAAATATTTCAAGACTTGAAATTTTGTCATTAAAACCTTAAACAAATAAATTTTGAGGTAGGTAAAGGTGGGAGGGCTTTCCTCTCAGCTATCTTCCTGGGAGTTGACCAATTTCAGAAAGAGATGTATGTTAAGGCGAGAATTTTTGAAAGAAAATCTGTAACTCAATTATTATGATCAGAATGTTTTACAGAAAAAAACAATCTCAGTGTAAAAGTTCGTCGCATCTTATGTTAGAAATGTGGGGAAATCCTTACTGAGAAGTTCATTTTTTTTACTATGAAATTTTAAGTACATGTTTATGCCTCAAAGGATCTGATTTTTTTCTTTTTCTATCTTAATTACACTCGATAAGCTATCTCTGTAACATGTCTTTATAATCCATGCTTCTGTGAATAACAAAGCTAGTTATATAGACAAAGTTCCGTATCTGTTTCTCTTGCAAGATTGGAATCATCAACTTCTTGGAAGACTGAAATCAAAACCAGGACATCCATGTGTTATGTGATACACACAGAAGGTGATGCAGCTGATCTAACAAAATTCAGAAGCACACTTCCCATTTTATCAGCTACTATATGACAAATGTCATAGTTTGTTAAAAACTTGGCCTGAATTGGACAAAAGATAGATTTAATGAGCCAAAAGAAAAGCTGTTCATGATAACACATCAGTGCACTCTTATGCTCTTATTTTGCTATTGGTGTTCATTCTCTACCACTTGTGCCTTAGAGTCTAGGATTTGTTTAAAGTCTATAACCTTTTACTCATAATGTTTTTCATTTAAAAAATTGTTCTTGTCTTATGGATAGTATCCATTTTGGTGTCAGATGTTATCTCATTGTGGCTTTGATTTGCATTTCCCTGATAATAAGTGACATGGAGCATCTTTCCATGTGCCTGTTGGTCATCTGCATGTTTTCTTTAGAAAAATGTCTATTCAGGTCCAATGTTTTAATTGGGTTATTTGGTTTTTTGGTGTTGAGTCATACAAGTTCTTTATGTATTTTTTATAATAGCCCTTTATTGAATATATCATTTGAGAATATCTTCTCCTGTACAATAAGTTGTCTTTTCATTTTGTTGATGTACAGAAGCTTTTAGTTTGATATAATCCCACTTGCTTATTTTTTCTTTTGTTTCCCTTGCCCAGGGAGATATATCCAGAAAAAAATCACTCATACTTATGTTCAAGAGATTCCTGCCTATGTTTTCTTCTATAGTTTTATGGTTTCATGTCTTAGATTTAGGTCTTTAATACATTTAGAATTTACTTTTGTGTATGGTATGAGACAATGGTTTCAGGAAGAAGTTGCTCATGCTTATATTCAGGAGATGTTTGCCTAGGTTGACTTATAGGAGTTTTATGGTTTCATGACTTACATTCAAGTCTTTAATCCATTTTGAGTTTACTTTTGTGTATGGGGTTAAACAGTAATCCAGTTTCATTCTCTTGCATGTAGCTGTCCAGTTTTGCCAACACCAGCTGTTGAAGAAGCTGTCATTTCCCCATTGTATATCCATAGCTTCTTTATTATATATTAATTGACTATATATAGTTGGGTTTATATCAGGGCTCTCTAGTCTGTTCCACTGCTCTGTGGGTCTGTTCTTGTGCCAGTACCAAACTGTCTTGATTACTGTGGCTTCGTAGTAGAGCTTGAAGTTGGGGACCGTAATTCTCCCTGCTTTATTCTTCCTTCTCAGGACTGCTTTGGCTATTTGAGGTCTTTTGTGGTTCCATATGAATATCAGGAAGATTTCCTCTAGTTCGTTGAAGAATGCTCTTGGTATTTTGACAGGAATTGCACTGAATCTATAGATTGCTTTAGGCAGGATGGCCATTTTGACAATATTAATTCTTCCTATCCATGAGCATGGGATGTGTTTCCATTTACTGGTATTTTCTTTAATTTCTCTCATGAGTGTCTTGTAGTTATCAGAGTATAGATCTTTCACTTCCTTGATTAGGTTCATTCTGAGGCATTTTATTATTTTTGATGTAATTGTGAATGGAATTGTTCTCCTGATTTCTCTCTCTGTTAGTTCACTGTTAGTGTATAGGAATGCCACAGATTTCTGTGTATTAATTTTGTATCCTGCAACTTTGCTGAATTCAGAAATTAGATCTAGTAATTTTGGAGTGAATTATTTAGGGTTTTTATGTACAGTATCATTTCATCTGTAAACAGGGACAGCTTAAGTTGTTCCTTGACAATCTGGATGCCTTTCATGACTTTGTGTTGTCTGTTTGCTGTGGCTAGGACCTCCAGTACTATGTTGAATAGAAATGGGGAAAGTGGGCATTCTTGTCTTGTTCCTGATCTTAAAAGAAAAGCTTTCAGCTTCTCACTGTTAAGTATAATGTTGGCTGTGGGTTTGTCAAATATGGCCTTTATTATGTTGAGGTACTTGCCCTCTATACCCATTTTGTTGACAGTTTTTATCATGAGTGAATGTTGAATTTTGTCAAATGATTTTTCAGCATCTATGGAGATGGTCATGTGGTCTTTGTCCTACTTTTTGTTGATGTGGTGGATGATGTTGATGGATTTTCTAATGTTGTACCATCCCTGCATCCCTGGCATAAATCCAACTTGATCATGATGGATAGTCTTTTTGATGTATTTATGAATTTGGTTTGCTAATATTTTGTTGAGTATTTTTGCATCTATGTTCATCAGGGATATGGGTTTGTAATTTTCTTTTTTTGTGGTGTCTTTGCCTGGTTTGGGTATTAGAGTGATGCTGGCCTCATAGAATGAGTTTGTAAGTATTCCCTCCTCTTCTACTCCTTGGAAAACTTTAAGGATGATGGGTATTAGGTCTTCACTAAATGTTTGATAAAATTCAGCGGTGAAGCCATGTGGTCCGGAAGTTTGTTCTTAGGTGGTTTTTTGAATACCAGTTCAATTTCATTGCTGGTAATTGGTCTGCTCAGATTTTCTGTTTCCTTCTGGGTCAGCCTTGGAAGGTTATATTTTTCTAGAAAGTTGTCCATTTCCTCTAGGTTATCCAGTTTGTTAGCATATAATTTTTCATAGTATTCTCTCATAATTCTTTGTATTTCCATGGTGTCCTTAGTGATTTTTCCTTTCTCATTTCTGATTCTGTTTATATGTGTAGACTCTCTTTTTTTCTTTATAAGTGTGGCTAGAGGGTTATCCATTTTGTATATTTTCTCAAAGAACCAGCTCTTGCTTTCATTGATTCTTTCTCTTGTTTTATTCTTCTCAATTTTATTTATTTCTGCTCTAATCTTCATTATGTCCCACCTTCGACTGACTTTGGGCCTTATTTGGTGTTCTTTTCATAGTTTCATTAATTATGAGTTTAGACTGCTCATATGGGATTGTTCTTCTTTCCTGAGGTATTGCACAGTATACTTTCTTCTTAGCATAGCCTTGGCTACATCCCACAGATTTTGTGGTGTTGAATTATTGTTGTCATTTGTGATCTCTGTTTTTATTTGGTCATTGATCCATTGGTTATTTAGGAGCATGTTGTGAAGCCTCTGTGTGTTTGTGAGATTTTTCATTTTCTTTGTGTAATTTATTTCTACTTTCATAGCTTTGTGATCTGAGTACCTGGTTGGTTAAATTTCAATCTTTTTTAATTTACTGAGGCTCTTTTTGTGGCCTAGTATATGATCTATTATTGAAAATGTTCCATGTGTACTTAAGAAGAATGTGTATTCTGTTGCTTTTGGGTGTAGAGTTCTGTAGATGTCTGTGAGGTCCATCTGTTCTACTGTGTTGCTCAGTGATTCTGTCTCCTTACTTATCTTCTGTCTGGTTGATCTATCCTTCAGCATGAGTGGAGTGTTGAAGTCTCCTAGAATGAATGCATTGCATTCTATTTCCCCTTTTAATTCTGTTAGTATTTGTTACACATATGTGGGTGCTCCTGTGTTGGAAGCATAGATATTAATAATGGTTATATCTTCTTGTTGGATTGACCCCTTTATCATTATGTAATGTTCTTCTTTGTTTTAAAGTCTATTTTCTCTGGTATAAGTACTGCAACTCCTGCTTTTTTTTCTCTCTATTAGTTGTTTGAAATATCTTTTTCTGAGAGGGTGGAGCCAACATGGCGGTGTGAGTAGGACAGTGGGAATCTCCTCCCAAAAACATATATATT